GTGACAGGTGGTTTGCTCAGGCTCCCTCAGTGCGGGTGACACTGCATGTGTGCATGTGTGGGCCACTGCACCTTCTGCCTTCATGCCCATCAGTGAACAAGGCTATTTGTGGCCACTCTGTGAGCTCTTTCTCTGGGTCTGTCATGTCTGTCTGGGGGCCAACAGGTGTATGCATATGAGACCATTTTTCACTGTACTCCAGTACCAGGCTGGTTATATATGCCCATGAATTAGTATTGCATATGTGGGGAGGTGTGGAGGGTCAGGGGCATCAAAGGTATTAAGTTCCAGGTCTCTGTCCATGCATGCTTGGGAAAATCTGGGACAATAAACAAGAAAGAGGACACACAGATCAAGGAGAAGAGCTGGTGGTGGCATGATGTTTAATAAAAGGGCAACTACTGCTGACTGAAAGGGAGGAAAGGGAAGGTGGGTGGTGGTGGCTAGGAGGAGACAAGAAACAAAGAGGAAGAGCTAAGAAGAAGAAACAGATGTCCATACAATGCAAATTGCCCCCAAAAGTGGTCAGAGAAAACAGGAGGATATGTGTGTGGAAGAGAAGAGGAATAAGAAGAAAGTCAGAAAAACAGGGAAGGGAGGAAGGTGACCTAAGAAGGGAACAGTAAGGTGAGCAGCCAGTGGGGAGCATCATCTGCTTCAAAGGGCACGAGGACCTGGGGTTGGCAGCTGTTTGTGCCTCAGCCACCTCCATGAATGACAGCTGGCTCAGCAGCAGGACCCAGGGCAGTCTGTCCTCTGGCCACTCCCCTGACACAGGCCAGCAGCCACCCAATCCCAAGGCAGAACACAGGGACAGGGAGCCTGGCTGCGGCAGGCATCAGGAAGCCAAACATGCCACTTTGGAGTATGCACACAGAACAAGAGTCTCTGCCTTCAGGTATGTGGGGGCTGAGCATGGGTAGGCATCTTTGCCTAGCTCAGCCAGGATTGGCTTCACATACCTGTGCATGAATGTGTCCAGCTCCACACATTTCTGTGAGTTCTCGTGTGCATCTTGTCCTGATGCATCACTTGAAGATAGCAAGGTGGGTCCAGGCCAGCTTTTCCTGCAGCCCTAGAATTTCCTGAACTTGGCACTGCAAAATTTTCCCCTTCTGTCCTTGAGTTTGCAGTGTAGGACATTCTGGCCAACCTTCCGGGGCTGGGCTGGATCACTTTGGCTCCAGCAGCCTGAACTCAGAAAAAAGGCAAGGTCTGTGCCTCTGATAACTGTGTGTAGAGCCTGCAGCTCACTTCTGCAAACTGGATCTGCCTCTGTAGGCCCCACCCCATGGGTCTGAGTGTTGGGGGTGTCCCTGAGTTTGTGGCTACACACTTAGGGTGCGTGACCATATGTCATGGGTGTCATGTAGGTCAGATGCTAGGTATGCTTGCTTAGCCAAGTGACAATTCTCTAGGTGTCATATGTGAACACCTTCGTGCCAGGAAAAGTCCACCAGTTGCTCCCCTAACTATCCCCTGAATTCTCATCCTTCGCCAGCTCAACAGCAACCTTCTTGAAGCCTTCCTGAGACTCAGTTGGTAGTGATCACTCTTCCTCTGTGTTCCCAAGGCTCGTGGCCTGAACAAAACACTTGCATGGGCTTATTACCAATGATTCTGTACATACAAAAACACATAATGACATAATCAACACTTCCTTTAGTAGAGAAGCTGTGAAAATGTCCCCATGATCTCCTTCTCCTGGTGTCCCTGTCTTTGTACGAGCCCCTCCCTTTGAATCTAGATGGTGCCTGTGCCTTGCTTCTCACTGACAGAATCTGGCAAAGGTGATAGGATGTCATACCCATGGTTACATGACATTGAATAAGGCGTGGTCTTGCTAGCTCACTCACTCTAGTCAGTCTCCTTGCAAGCTCAGGTAAAGCAAGAACCCATGTAGGAAAAGCCTGTGTGACAAGGAAAGACAGGCAGTCAACAGGATGATCTCCACCAATATACAAGAAGCTACGGCCCTAGGTCTACAAGTGCATGAATGCTGCCAACTTGAATGAGCTTGGAAGTGATTCTTCCCCTGTCAACCCTCCAGATGAGAACACAGCCCAGTCAATGTCTTCATTGCTACTTCATGAGAGCCCAAGGAGTGGGTAAGCCAAGCCACTGAACTGTGAGTTAATGTGTGTTAAGCTGCTAAATCTGTTATCTGTTACACAACAATAGAAAATACCCATGTACCCACCACTTGAGATGATGAACTAATACAACTGAAGCCCTGTGAGCCTTCCCTTTATTGTATTTCCCTTCCTACCAAGCATTTCTTAAAATTTTCTTAGGCATATCCCTAAACAACATCTATGGCATCGTTTTATATGATTTTAACCTTCATTTTTCTTTTAAAATGTGCTTATAATGTCCATGCTATTTGGCACCAATCTATCCTGAGCACTGTCCATCCCTGACTTGTTGCTCAAGGCCTCACAATGCTCCAAAGGGGATCAGCTGCTGCCAGCCTGTGGCATCAGTGGCTCATGTCTGCGACTTCATGCCAGCATGAAATCTTAGCACCAACAAAAGCACCTTAGAGTTCAAATCCACACCCTTCCCCCCTCTTCTTTTATTTTGCAAGTGAAGGCATTTCTGCTTAAGAAATTGGAGTGATCTGCCCAAGCCTCAAGGCAAATGGTAGACAAGACTGGGTCACAGGCTTATGCCCAGCTCTGGTCTTTCCACACTAAATTATGTCACAATCAGACTGTGCCTGTTCAGGGGTTGGCCTCATCACTCTGCTCACACTAGGTTTCTATTAATTAGAAGTTAGTCACATTCAGAGGGAGAGTGTACAAAGGCTTGGACACCAGGAGGTGGAGATCACGAAGGGACCCCTCACAGCCCCTCCACTACCATAGTTGTTGAATATGTCAGTACTTTTTTGGGGGGAGTCACTGTGTGTTTTTGTCAACTGAGTCCTAATGTAAAGACATAGATTGAGCCTTTCTGGGCTGTCATTTGCAATGATTCTGCCACCCCCCAAAGTAGGAGGAATTCAACAATTTTAGAACTGCATCCAGGAGAGCTTATTGCATTTATTATGGCCTTTCCCACATTGGATTTTTCATTTAGCAAAAGCTGAGTTGTGTTCAAGCTAACTAAGCCCCAGATGTGGATATTTAAGCTGATTGTCTACCCTAACCCGCCTTCCCCCAGTGGAACCTCTTCCAGCGCAGATGGGAGATGCCCCAAGGCCTGCCTGTCCCATCTGGTGCTCATCTCAACACAGTGTTGCCATGTCTTCCCTCTGGCCTCTCAACTAGAGCCCATCACCCTTCTGGGGAAGCACGCCTTGCCCTCCACTTCCTTCCAACTGTGCCCCTCTTTCCCCATTTGAAACAGCTGGAAGCTTTATATGACAAGTAAAGTCTCACTTAATACCAAGCAAATAGGCTGGGGGAGGGGAGCAAGCAAGGGTGGAAGCAGAGCAGACTGTGGGTTGCTTCCAAAATCAGGCTCCTTGGGGGCCGGGGATTTAGCTCAGTGGTTTCACTGCCTGCCACGCAAGCGTAAAGACCCGAGTTCGATCCCCAGTACAAAAAAAAAAAAAAAAAAATGAAGACAAAATCAGGCTCCTAGGGTCTCTGGAGCCCTGAAACACTGAAGTTTCTTCCACATCTGCAGGACTTTTCATCCCAACAAACCACTCCCTTTTTTTATCAGTTAGAACTAAGCAAATGAGCAACACATCTCCATCAGAGGCCAAGGCAGGATGCCAAGGATTTCCACGGCCCCTCTGCTGCCCCATGCTGCAAGGGAGAGCAGGGGGGTGCACATAAAGGCTCTGCTCTCTCCTGCTTGGGTTTAGTCCCCTTATAAAAGAGAAGGAGGGGCTGGGGATTTAACTCAGTGGCACTGCGCCTGCCTTGCAAGCACAAGGTCCTGAGTTTGATCCTCAGTACCAAGAAAAAGAAAAAAAAAGAGGAGGAGGCAAGGAGCATGTATGCCTGTCTTGTGGAGACACACAGAAGGTGCCATCAGTGAGGAGCATTTCCTCACCAGACACTGAATCTTCACCACCTTGATCTTGAACTTCCCAGCCTCCAGAATTGTAAACAATAAATTTTTGTTACTTATGAGTAACTGAGCCTAAGGTATTTTGTCATTGCAGCCTGACAGAGGCACCTAAATGTTTATTGATCACTGAATAAAGGATTGGTGGAATAGCATGCAAGACATGATGCTGCACTGTTTCCATTACAAAAGACTGCTGCCAGGGACCAGAGGGTGTTAACCTGGAGTTGATCTAGGAGTTAGGATGAGGAGTCCCATTTCTCTGTGGATTGGAACACAAAGCTGGTTGTCCTGAGATGCCTCCTACTTAAACAAAGTTGTACAGTAAGTACATGTATTTCCTTTCATGGTAGCAGAGAGGTGTGGAGAATTAAGGAAAGAGTTATCTGCCCAAGGTCACAGTTTAGAAAGTGAACCTCCCAATCCTATGTCATTCAGGTAGCATAGCAGAAATGGGAACAGAGAGCCTTTGGCTGGTTTCAAGTTCAAAATAAGCTGAATCTGGAGGCAGTGAAGGGTGCTCATGGTAGGTGACTCAAAAGCTAGGATCCACACAGCCTCTCAATATACCCCTACCTGTTTTTCCCTGATCACTACAAATGAAGACAAAGCCTGTCATGCCACAATGAGAAGAGCCACACTCTTGGACAGTGAAACTGTCCATGGGACAGGTAACAAACTGATGTAACTTTGTGCGAAGCCCATCCTCACTGTTTTTGGCTTTCAAGGTGAGGGACAGAGGCAAGAGGGTCCTTGGGAAGGGTGAAAACAGTGATAGGAGGAGGACATGTCACCAAAGGGCAGGCCAACCTTCCCTCTTCCCAGCTTGGGACTGGAGACAGCCTCCCTGTGCCCCTAGGGGCAGAGGCAGTGTCCTGCCCTCAGTCACCCCTGAAACACCAACCACAGGAAACAAAGGCTCTCCCTCCTTTGTGCCAGCTTCTCTCAGCAAAAAGAAGTAAACGGCCCCCTTATTTTTATCGCTCACAGATTTCCTGAGAAATGGGCTATTAGTTCCCCTAATGTAAAGATAATAAGCTTGTCCACCTTGGTAAATGGCACAGCCCCAGCACAAATACACCCACAGAACTGTCAAAGAGCCTTTCTCACTGATGATGAAGGGCCTGGGAGCAGTGGGGCCAGGACAGGAATTCAGGAGCAGGCCTGGGCTCCCACCCCCAGCCTGTAGGAGCTTAGTGGCTGGGGAGAGGCCGTGCATGTCCCGAAAGCCTCACTGTCCTCGTCTCCTGGCCCATAGGGCTGGGGTGGGCAGTGGCGAAGGAGAGGAGCCATATGGTGAGTGAGGGTGTCTCTTGCTCCAGCAGAGGTAGAGAACACTGCTACTAAACAGGCTCACAAAGGCAGAGGATTTCCAGGCTGTCCCTGCTACCACTTCCAATTATGTCCACAAAGTAAGTGAATACAATGATAATGATCCCATGAAACAGGTGGGAAGCCTGAGTGTAATACAGGTGAAGTGAGTAAGCCACAGTCAGGAGGCAAGACAAGGCTGAACTGGCGCTAGGATGGAGGGCAAGGTCCCCAAGCCAAGGACCAAATGCTCCTCAGAAAAGTGGCCCTAATGGTTCCTGTCTAGGCATTCTTCAGCCCCTGCCCTATAGCTCAAACTCCAAGACAGGAGCTTCTGGAGCAACAGCTCTTGGGGACTTCAGCAGTGAAGATCTATCTGCGTGGAGTGTGAGGGCTCCTTTAGCCCTGGATAAAGGCTATGCTCTTACACCCAGAATGGGAAGAGGGCCAGGCTCTGCCCAGATTCTACAGAAGACAGCCCTTTCATGCTAAGCCAGGACCCTGCAAGGCATCAGGGCAGTTAGTCACACTACTGTCACACTGCCACTCTACTCTTCCCATGCATGCCCTCCTTTCATTTAGGCTTTGTACTCTGTGAGTGCCAGGGTCTTGGCTGATGCCATTTCTTTTCCTCCCAGGGAGCTTGTGAAGATAATAGGAGCTTAGTGCTACCTACTGATTGATCAGAATGGGGTGGCAGGGCATGGCTCTGTTCACACTGACACATGAGTGTATGATTTGTAGATCACTTTTTCTGCCTAAGGTTCTGCTTCCAGTTCCTATGAGCCCCAGACCTGGTCTGCATCAGGTGGCCTCCCCTGATCCCACCTCTGCTATCCTGTCCCTGAAGCTATAGAAGCACAAGCAGGTGGACAGCAGGGACAGCCTCACCCAGAGAGCAAGGGCAGCTTCCCACTGTCCTGTCCTCTTGGTCGATGGGGCTCTGGGGGCTGGTGCTGTGGTCTGAGAATGAGGGAAAATGAGCTCACACTGCCTTTCTGTTCTGAAGGAGAAAAGGTCTGTCTAGAGACTCTAGGGCATGCTTGGGCAGAGCTGCTCAATCTAGGAGGGGAATGTCAACTTTGACTGTCCCTTTAGGGCTCCCTGGGCTCTCAGAACCCTTCTCAGGGGTAGTGATGGGGAGGTGGAATCATTCTGCATTTCAGAAAGGAAACACAGCAGCAGTCCAAATACTACCCTAGCTACACTGAAGTTTCAAAAAAAGAGGACTAGATATATCCGCATGAGGAGGAAGTAGTGGGAAAAGTTGCCTGGAAACACAGAAAGATGACGCCAGAGAATTTTAGCAGGTGAATGAGTAGGACTGGCCAGTTTACTAATCTTCTCCTTCTCCTTCTCCTTCTCCTTATCCTTTTCCTTCTCCTTCTCCTTCTCCTTCTTCTACTTCTTCTCCTTCTTCTTCTCCTTCTCCTCCTCCTCCTCTTCCTCTTCCTCCTCCTTCTCCTTTTCCTCCTCCTCCTCTTCCTCTTCCTCCTCCTTCTCCTTTTCCTCCTCCTCCTTCTTGTAGGTGCTCTAGGACTCCCTCTCCCCAGCCAGTTCCATACACTGCTGCTCTGCCAGGAGGTGGCATGCCAGCTGCTCCAGGCCCTCCAGGCTCACCTTCTGCAGCCGTTCCTCATGCTCCTGCCTCAGCAGCTGTAGCACCATCTTGCCATCCTGGGGCCCAAAGTGTTTGGCTAGGACCCTGTCCAGCTGGTGCCACAGGGACTGGGCTTGATCCTGAGGTTGGAGAGCTTTGTCTGGTGCTGCTTTATCCAAGGGCTGCATGATGACATTGATAGAGGCATTGGGCCCAATGCAGTAGTCCGAGAGGCACTTGTCATCATCCAGGAGCTGGCCACAGAACAGCAAGTGCTGCTGCTCTTCAGGCACCTGCAGCTGCTCAGACACCAGCTTCTTCAGCGTGGCCACACTCTCTTGCCCTGACACCTTCAGGCTACATTTCTGTCCCAAAAGCAGCTTGACTGTGAGGAACATTGGGCCAGAGCAGAATTAGGAGGGATCCATGCTCTAGAAGCTGCCCTGAAGAATAAGGGGCCCTGCAGGAGAAGGTGGCCCTATTACTGGAGGGCCAGTGGTCCCAGAAGGCTAACAGCCCAGCCCAGATGGGCGACTACTGGCTAATTCAGAGTGATGTCACAATTTGCAGGAGGCCTCATTTTCAGAGTGGAACTTTAGAGACAGCAGAAGTACTCAGTGGGCTCAGAGCCTCCTTCCTCCATAAGAGTAAAAAAGAGGGGAGAAAAGGAAAAAGGAGTGGAAAGTGAGAAATTGGTAGGCCTGGGAGAATGGAGAGTGGAAACAGAAAGGGAGAGCCAGAAAAGACAGAGTGGCCCAAGAAACATGTCCGTTGCTTCATTCAACATAAATATATATTAGGTCCCTTCTCTGCCAGGACCTGCTCCCAAAGAGACAGTAATATCAAAGCAGATACCTTCTGCCTTCAGGAAGATGTCAGACCAGTGAGCTGGCTTGCCTTGATCAAGAGTCTTCTCCATGTCAAGCACTTAACAAGCTGTCTTGGAGGGGCTTCTCAGAAGCAAACCTTGGGACAAAGATAGAGCACAGGTGTTTAGTTGGGAGGTGATCTCAGAAGGCACCAGTGGGAGAGTGAGGAAGGGAGATGATGAAGGGAGGGAACCAAAACCTGCATCAGGAGCAGGCTGCCATGAATAAACCCAAGCTATACCACCTGAAAACAGGAAGCTGGATCTTGATTCTCTGACTCCTAACTCTGGTTAATAGACTGCCATATCCTTGGCCCTCTTGGTCCACAGGGGTGTAGGGCATGGTCTGCCAACCAGAGAAAACCCTTGGGCAAAGAATTACAGGTGTCTGCAGTAACAAGCCATCAGAATTTCAGGAATATGAACCTATGGGATCAGGTAGGGCCACCATCTGTGTCTCTTTTACATGCATTGCCTTATTTAATCTTTAAAACCTACAAGGCAGATACCTTCCTAATATTCATCTGCCGGAGAAAGTAGGGGATACAGCAAGCAGCATGCAGCTGTGTCTTTACTGTTACCTGTATTGCCAACATCTGCTCAATGCCTTCCATGGGTTGTGCACTGAGAAGAGGCCCAGGGTTCGAGGCAAATAAGGAAAAGGACATGGATTTGGGGCTCCTCTGGGTCAGCACCTGTTGCACTTGGCAGTTTTCAATGCAAACCCATTGGTGAAGGCATCCTGGGTCAGTCCCTTTATATGCACTGTCATAGGTGAGCCTTTGAGGAAGACATTGGAGCAGACCTGGTCAACATCCCGCAGTGGGTGGGCTGATTCTGTCAGGGGACCCCCGCCCCCCAGCTCTTGTGCTTATCTGTCTTGCTTGCCGGCACCAATCCCTTCCTCTCACCTATTCCTGCCGCCCTTCCTGCCCAACCTCTCTTGTTCCACTGATCTAGAATCTACAGGGACATGGCACTATTGTTGAGCTTTTCAAACGTGCTCTTCCACAACATCCAGTCCCTGATTCCTGTGCCAAGGTTTCTCCAGGCTTCACCCCTGTCTTCCAGCTCTGGTAACCAAGGTCAACTGAAGAAGAGACCCAGAGATGCCATGAACTTAGCCTGCCCTCATCCCTTCTACCACCTTCCCTGCTTTTTCCAGTGCTGGGCAGAGGTGATCCCACCTCCCTCCGTGCAACCTTTACTCCCCTTGAACACACGATTGTTGATGCACCTAGAATATCTGTGTCTATGCCTCCCTTTCAGAGCCAGAGATGGGTCTCATCCATCTTTGCGTCCCCCACCTCCAGCACACTGAGCTTGGCTCACAAATAGCCTTGAAGGCATGGCTGTAAATGCATAAGGTGCACTTGAGATATGCTGAGCCACACAGGAGCATGCAAGACTCGGTACAGCAAGCCTTAGGAAGACATGAGCCTGCCTGGAACCTCTCCATCACCCTACTGCTTTCCCTAGAGAGATGAAAATCCAACATTACATGAAAATAAATCAGAGAGTAACTCCAGTCTTTACAAAAGGATCTTCTACAGTATTTCTTTAAATAGCCAATTCCCTGAGTGCATTTGAAATAAGGCCAAGTTTGCAAATGTACATACAATGGGGGAGGGGTGGATTGCACGATGGCAGGGCATCTGTACAAAGGAGAGGTGGAATGGATGAGGTTTCTCAGAAGCCATCTGAAGCCTCCTGGTCTCTGGAGGGGGAACCCTGTGGTGGACAAACCATTGGATAGACAGGATTGGGGTCATCCTAATGGGGATGCCAGGCTAGAAGTAACAAAGGAAGGTTTCCTGGAGGGTGATGTTTGAGTCATCTTCTGTAGGAGACAGAAGGAAGGTGAGATGGGGAAGAAAGTGACCTGTAATTTCTCTCCAACCCCCGAGTCTCCTGAGGAAAGGGACAAAAGCCAGAGTTGGGGACATAGAAGAAATGTCTCCAGCTTCTCCTCCCAGAACCATCTACCCAGCTGTGCACTTCCAAGCATACTGTAGAAGTCAAGTTGGACCTTAATAAGACCTTAATAAGAGCCATAGCCCAGGCTGCATCTCTCCAAGGCCAGTGGCCACATGCGGGCAAGTGTCCTCTGACAGGGGCTTTAAAGGTCACACCTGCTGGGACACAGTCTCCAAATCAAGGTACTTGGTCTAGGGAGCCCCAGTACCCATGGACTATGAGGACAGAAGCTTCTGAATTAGTGGTGTCTAGGGATGCTTAGAGAAATGGCCACTACTCAACCTCTATGCCTACGCCCTGGAATTTTCACTGCCCTCCTAAGGGGGACACTAAGGGCATCTTGGTGGGCTCTCAAAGTATATTTGGAGGCTGGAAATTTCCTAAGTTTTCTCCATGTAATTGTTTTTCTTAATTATGCAGTTAACATGAGAAAATATAATTGTGTAATCAGACCATGCAATTAGACAACGATTGTCATAATTGGTGGGGGGAGATCATCTGGAATGAGTAGGTTTTGTGACTCAGGGAAAGGAACAAATACATGTTGGGTAGTAGTGGGGTCAAATCCCTCTCAAAAACAGCTGCAGATTCCACCAGGCCACCAGAATGTCTGGCCAGGAAGACAGATTGGGGCGGGAGAGAGTTCTGGGATAGCTCTGTGAGCATCCAAGTTCCTACAGCCCTTCACAGTGCTCCTGAACAGGCTGACTGAATTTTGGTTCAATGAAGGCGTGAACTCCATAGTGTAAAAGCCAAGGGTTCAGCTGCTGGCCTAGGGCCTGCCTTGAGCTAGGTCTTATTTTGCTCCTCTGTCTAATGGAAGTGTGATCATTGCCCAGTCTCCCTCTCAGGGTCACTGTGAGGGCCAAAAGCAGGTCATAGCTGGGACCCAGGACCTAGCATAGTGTCTGATATTAAATTTGCAAAGGGAAATGGAAACTCTTACTGTCAGCCCTCCATCTGTCAGGGAAGACTCCTCTGGGCCTCGAAATGTGCCCAAAGTATGACTCCTCATCAGTTCCCTGCCTGCACAAATAGGCAGGCAAAGCAGTCTTCTGCAGGTGGAACTTGCCAGAGAGGGGTAGATAGGGGTGGAAAACATTCACTGACAGCTGAGGGTGCTCTGGGCAGCAGGGAGTTCACAGCCACTCCCTGGGTCTGCACAAAAGGCTCATCAGGAAAATAAGTTATGACCTCTGCCCACCTCGGTCCCTGGAAGTTATCAAGTTATTCCACTTTGATGATGTCAGGCCAGCCTTGCAGGAGGCCCCTGGGGCAGGGTAATAACTAGGAGGCAAGAGCAAGATATAGAAACAGTGGGACAGGGAGACAGTCAGGGTACAAGAAAGCCAGTGCTTAGGCAGGAGAGACTACAAAGGGGAGATAAGGAAAGGGGGGTTAGAGAAAAGGCACAGGGTGGCTGGGGATTTAGCTCAGTGGCGCCATGCTGGCCTCGCAAGCACAAGGTCCTGAGTTCAACCCCTGGTACCAAAAGAAAAAAAGAAAGAAAAGGTACAGGGCTGGGGTGTCCCTCTGCCCTCTACTGATATGTAAGTCTGGAAGTTTTTTGGAAATGCTTGGACAGGGAAAGTAGAATCCACCAGAAGCTCTTCATCACATAGGTTAGAGCCTTCAGGTATTCCTGGCACCCTCTACTGCTTCCACCACCCCATAAAACCCCACTTGTGATGTGCCTTGCAAGGACATGAAGAAACATCACTAACGGTGGCAAGATCTCAGACAGCCTGTGGCAATAGCTACCCTCCGGCCCACCCTGTGCTACTCCTGTGTCAGCAGGTATCCTGTTCTTTCGAGGAGAGGTCTCTTGAAGCTGTTTGGTGCCCCACCATGCCAAGCTCAGAACAAGCAGCTTTTTAGGGTGTCTCTTAGCAAGAGGAGGGAAACAGATGTCATGGGGCCACAGGCCCCCAGGTTATGCTTGTTGCAGTCCCAGACCACCTCTTAGTGGCTTGGTCACCACAGCATCTGTCCAAGCCTTGGTCCTTGTGCCAGACAACCTAAGTCCTATCCTGTGTTGCTGTTCTGGAGCCTTGGAAGAGTCAGGCATTGGCTGGGGCAGTTGGAAGCCTGGATCCTGAGCTGAGCACAACTCGCACTTTCGGGGAAAATCTCATGGGGCTGAAACCTGCTGTGACCACTAGATGTCACTGGTGACCTCCTTGGCCAGCTCCAGCAGCCAAACAAGCTTCCAGCCTAGACAAGTGAGACTGGACCCCAGGTCCACAGCCTCATAGGAACACAAGTCCCCTCCCCCGCAGACTGGCAGTCATTCCTCTGCGTGGCCTCACCAGTCACATGCCACACTTGGAGCACAAACATGAGGGCCCACCCTGAGCAGAGGGCACTGTGCTGGTCGGTCCCAAGACAGGAAGAGGACAGTAAGCCTAGTCCCTGGGGGAGGAGGCACATAAACCTGTAACTTTAGCACTACACCTAAACTTTATGATGGAGGAGAAGGAACTCTAGACTCTGACAGGAGGTGGGGCCAGGTCAGAGGCTTCACCAGGAATGGACGTTGGGAGGGCTAGAGAAGCTGCAGGAGGTAACCAGTGCAGAAGCAAGAAGGACACTCTAGCCAAGGGCTCAGTGTGTATAAGCCTCTGTGGAATGAGTGGGACTCCATGTAACTGAAGTGCCATGAAGGAAGGAGACAACAGGCAGCGATGGGCAGGCAGAGGCC